CATCAGGTGGACCACACTGTGATCTTTTCACAGTACTTGAAATACAGTGTAGTACATTTCCTTCTTTTCTACTGGTACCTTGTCCCCTAAACACCCCCCGATCCCCACCCTCTCTCCCAGCACCATCAAGAGTGATCCCCACTGCCCCGTACTGCATGGGAGCGGCTTTGCCAAATTCGGACCAATTGATTTGGGACAGTGATTTGAATCACTGAATTGAATCAGTGTCCCCTGAATCAGATGAATCTGAATCCAAAGCGAATATAGGCCTAATATTTATCCTGGGAAACAGAAAGGGAATTTAACTGTAATATTAGACTTAACTGATTTGGCTCAAACCGGTTTATGCAATGTCTGTCCCAGAGCCCTTCCTGGTTTAAGTTAAATCAGAGCCCTCTAGCATTCCAGTTGCTTTGCAACTCTGGGCAGGGCTCTGCTCTCTGCTCCAGCCCAGCCCAGCCCAGCCCAGCAGGGATGGCCCCTCCCTTCTGCTCCCTAGCTGCAGTTCCAGCAGAGACTGCAGGTACACCAGGGTCTGCCTGGCTTCCTCCTGCTCCCCCCCACACCACTCCCTGCTCGAGCAGGGATTCCCTGCTCCCCTCTGCCTTACACAACTCTCAGCATTAGCTAGCATACCACATGCTGGCTGTGGTTTGTGCTGTGGGAGACAGCACAAAGGCAGACAGGACAGTGTCAGCGTAGGGGCTTTTGAAGCTAATCAACAGGTAGCTGGCAACATCCCTTCATTTCTTCCTTGGAAAAAGTTGTTTGAACTAATGAGAGAGGCTGTTTTTTTGTTGATGGGGTGATAAATGCTAGCAGCTCCCTAAGCAGAAGCCAGGCAGATGCCTGCAGAGACTGCTGAGCTCCAGCAAGGCAGCAGAGGGGAGGGGCCAGCCCTGATGTGGAGCAGAGAGCCTCACCCAGCCAGAGATCATTCTGGGATGCCTGGGGAGTCTGATTTATCTTAAACCAGCAAGGGGTCTGGAACAGACATTGCATAAACCCTGTTTGAGCCAAATCAGTTAAGCTTGATACTACATTCAACCAGGTTTGTCTCAAACCAGTTTCAGCCATTTTCAAACTGGTTTATGTGCACTGAACATCTGTTCTGTTACAGGTTTAAACCAGTTTCTGATCACTTAAACCCGTTTATGTGTAATGTCTGTATCTAGCCATGATGACCTACAACCATCCTGAACAGTGGAAAAGTAACAGAGATTCAGCTAAGAGAGGGAAGTGATTTAAAGGTCTTTGTGGCTGAAAGGAATGGAGGAGAACATGCACTGAGAAAACATTATCAAGGAAGAAAAAGAGCTACTTTCTTTGGGGAGTTAGCCTGTTTGTTCTTCCTGTATGTACTCCCTCAGAATAGTCTTAAACCGATTTACGTGTAATGTCTGTCCGTAGTCTATATGGTTACAAGATTATAAGGTTGTTAAAGCAAGGACTTCAGTTTTCACAGGACAAGAAGACTTAAGGATGAAATCAAAGAATTACCTGCACCCTCCCCAAGAAATTAAAATGAGGTTTTTAGTAATCTCTAGCTTTGATTGCTTCTCCTTGCTAAGGGAAACATTTCCAACCCCAGTGTTGTTCAAATAGAACAATTATGGGAAAATTGTAAATGGGAGGATTTAAATTTGTGTGCACGTTTCCTCTAGAAAATAGCAGAATTGTAAACAAGTTGATCTCATTCATATCCAGGGAGCAAAATAAGAACAAAAAAAATAACCCTGAGTTTTTTGGCTGAAAATAGTAAAATATAATATGCTGACTTAATGTAATATAACAAAAAGAACGTTTCCTTGTATAAATGGTGCATGTTGTATTTGAAATGTTACCTTGCTGTGCATTTTCTGGGTATAAATTTTAGTGTTTTTTATATCAACAAGCAACCAGTAAACACATGAGAGAGACATAAATTCTACCCTCATTTACAGGATTCATTAAATTAGTAGGACTTCTTAAGTTTTACTCAGGGTAGAATCTGGCTTATAATATTATTGCGAGATGATCACTTGTTGCACCTAATTTGCAGAGTGGATTGACACCGCTTCACCTGGCTGCTCAAGAGGACCGAGTAAACGTAGCAGAGGTTCTTGTTAACCAAGGGGCTGTTATTGATGCACAGACAAAGGTATGATTAACCACACTACTATATAAATACACTTATATTAAAAATGCAGAGAATACACATGGTATTACCTAAAGGAAATGTTTAAAATCTATAGGTTTGACTCATTGTTACTTCAGTTTTACACTTGTATAGATCCAGTGAACCAATAAGCATACAACAGCATGAAATCGACCAATATTCAGTTGGTGTATTGGGGCTGTTCAACTTGCAGAAAAGGTGATTAAGAAGGAACATGATAGCAGTCTTCAAATATTTGAAGGGCTGCCACAAAAATAGAACACATTTTCCCCCTCTTGACAAAGTAGGATGCATATCAACAGCATGAAATTGCAGCAAAGTAGGTTTAGTTTGGATAAAAGGAAAGCTTCTTCACTATTAGAACAGTGAGGCAGTGCAATAGGCTGCCTTGGAAAGTTGTGGAAACTCCTTCCTTAGAGATTTTCAAGAGTGTGGATACGTAGTGGTTAGGGATGATCTAGGAGTAGCAATACCCAGAGAGTGCTGTGAAGAGCAACAGTTGGGAGCCCAGGAGCCTGCCACTCACAGATCACTAGGCATTGGTGATGCATAGGGTGTTCACGTGGGTGCACGTGAACCCCCTGAGCTTGGTGGCACACCCCCTGCAAAAAGTGCTGCCAGTGCCGCCTGCGGGCAGTCACTGTTCAACATCCCCCTCCCCCTTGCCACCGACGCTGTCAGTGGCATATGCAGGCAGTCCCTCATCACCACTGGCCACCATTGACACTGCCAGCATCATCTGCAGGTACTTGCTGACCGCAGGTCAGTGCTGCTTCAATTCGGAGCCAATTTGGAGTTTGGCTATGGAGTATAAAGGGGAATAAATTAAATATCTATAACTTTGTTGTTTTTTGGCTGATTCAGATGAAATTTGCAGGGATGGTAGCCTCTGCTGAGATCATGGAGCCAGCCAAGTTTCAAGGTGATAGGTGCTGGGATTTCTGGGAAACTGCACTTCAAAGTCCTGAAAGCAAAACTAATGTCACGTGTGTATGTTAAGCGACAGGGTGGTAAAAACTGCAGGGATGGTAGCCCCTGCTGAGGCCACAAAACATGTCAAGTTTCAAAGAGATAGGTATAGGGGTTTCTGGGAAACTTCACCTCAAGTCAGGGGTGTTGCGCTCTATGTCAAAGAGCAACTCACATCATCAAGGATTAGCTTCAGGTTAGAGGAGGGTTGGGCAGAGAAACTGTGGGTCAAACTACAAGGGGGGTGTGGTGAAAGGGACCTTACGGTGGGTGTCTACTACAGACCACCCAACCAGGGGGAAGAGCTGGACCGGGACTTCTCTGGTCAGCTTATGGAGGCGGTTAGGTCAAGGGATGTCACTGTCATGGGTGACCTAAACTACCCAGACATTTGCTGGGAGGAGCAGACAGCCAGGTCTGACTGCTCACATAGGCCCAGCTGTATGAGCATTCATGGTCATCTGGCCAGGTGCTGGGGGATTGGAAACTAGGTAAAGCCTCACCTCAGTCCTCGGGAAGATCTTGGAGAAAATCATCAAGGAGTACATCTGTGGGGGACCAGCAGGGGAGATCGTGCTCAGGGGCAACCAGTATGGGTTCATCAAAGGCAGGTCCTGCCTGACCAACCTGAGTGCCTTTTATGACCAGGTAACTAAATCCTTGGATGATGGTGTCACCGTGGATGTAGTCTTTCTAGACTTTAAGAAGGCCTTTGACACTGTCTCTCACCCCATTCTCATTAATAAATTAAGCAACTGTGGCATTGATGCCTGCACAGTTGGATGGGTAAAAAACTGGCTGATGGGGGGCACCCAGAGAGTAGTGGGGGATGGGATGTACTGAACCTGGCGAGATGTGAGCAGTTGGGTCCCTCAGGGCTCAGTCCTCAGGCCCGCACTGTT